TCTGGGGTCTTAAAAGCTTGAAGGTAAAGAAGCGGCCATCTAGCTCAGAAGCAACAAAGCCCACATGGAAGAACACATCAGCCTGTGTGATCACGAGGTGCCAAAGGGATCAGTTATCTGGCATCATCAGAACAAAAAATCATATCATTGTGTGCTCACCTCCATGATACGATTGCTGAGGAAAAATGGGCACATAAGCAAATGTGGCGAAAGGAGAAGGAAAAAAATACATAAAGAGTTAGCTGAGCCCTGTTCCATGCTTTCTGTAGCACTGCCTCATGCCGTGTGCAGCACTGCCACAGGGGGCAGACTGGAGCTCTTCCCACTGGGTGGGCAGAGTTGCCCCAGGTAGAGGGTAGGGGGCTGGAAACCAGCCATGGCATGTAGAAGGAAAGAGAGGGAGAAGCAAAATAGAAAGGAAGAAAGAAGAGGGGGGACAAGGGAGAGAAGATAGAAAGAAAAGTAAAGAAAGAGAAAGAAGGGGGAAAACACAACCATGCTTGCTAAGGTTGACTGTGGTGGGAAAGAGAGAAGAAAAAAGTAAAGAGATAGAGGATCCCTGGTTATAACTGGCCTTATTCCTACACATATGGGCAGACTGATTTTATAAAATCTTATGGAATACTTCTATAAAAAATCAATAATTACAGTAATTTCCTTGGGCAATCATCACAAATTAGCATGATCTGAGATTGCCAGAAATTTAACAACAGAAGTTTATTCTGTCATAATTTTGTTATTGTTGTTAGGGGCCATCAAGCCCAATTCACAGCAGCTCGTTTTAGAGGCTAGAAGTCTAAACCAACGTGTCAGTTGAATGGAGTCACTATCTCCTCCTTTCAAACCTGAAGGATCGGAATGAGAGCCTGTTCTACTCCTTTCTGCTAGTTTCTGGTGGTTGTTGGCAATTCTTGCTAGTATTTGACTTATGGATGTAACACTCCAATATCTGCCTGAGTTAGTTCATTGTGCCAGCCTGGCCGATAATCACATGTGGGGCTAATTGAAAGGCAGAGGGATAAATGGGTGGTGAAGCCTCGCCTTTCTAGTTCTCGGGTTTCTTGTTTTGTGATGGTTGCACCGGGCACAGCTGCCTTAGCAGTTCCCTGCTTCAGCTTGCAAGATTGACTTCCTACAAGACATCCCCAAGGAGAAGCCGCATGGACCTACCCCGATGCAGCCCTGGGTGCTGGAGCAGCCGTGTGGAGACCCCTGCTAGTGCTGAGATGCTTGTTCGTTCACTGACTCAGCTTTCCTCCTGCAGTCGGCATCATTGCCTCTGTTTTGTGAGGTGGAGGACTTTGTGGACTGGTGTTGGGTTAATGGGTTAATGTTGGACTTGTGGGCTTGGGCAGCATTGGGTTGGGATGTTTTCGTGATGCACATTTTCTTTACATAAAACTCTCTCTTATACATGAGTTGCTGTGAATTTGTTTCTCCAAAGTACCTAGACTAATACACTGCCTTAGTCTTCACATAGCATACTCCTGTCAATATGTCTTCTCTTTTTCTGTGTCTGCTCTTAAAATGGCACCATTCAATGAATTTTGTGCTTACCCTAATTTAGTGTGACCTCATCTTAAATTGATGACATCTACAAAGATCCTATTTTCAAGCAATGTCATATTCACAGATACCAGGGTGTAGCACTTCAACATAACTTAGTAGGGGACACAATTTATACATCATGTCAAGTGAAAATGATTTTAAGATGAACATACTATGACACTGTTTAACCTGAGCTGTTCTACAGATATGGTGCTATTTCCTGTTCATGGAACTTTTTCTGATTGAATATAGTCTTAATATAATCTTAACCTCTTCAAACCTTTTATATAATATGTATGATATGTACGTTTTTTTTTAATAACTACCCTGCTGTGATGGTTCGGGATACGTAAACTAGACTCATCTGGGTAAAGGTAGAGGCTGAGCCCAACCTATCAATTGGGTAGCAGATTGGTGATGCCTCCTTGGTGTCATAGGTCTTTTTGTAAAGAGAGAGAGAGAGACTGAGCAGAGACCAATCTTCTTTGGTCCTTTGCATTCTGCTTACCCTGGTTCCTCCATCTCCTATTGCATCACCTGCCACATCCAATAGCCATCAGCAGACTACTGATGGTGGATATATTCGGCTGACTTCAGATTCATATTACATCTGCATCCACCAGCCTATGCCTCCCCCTGTCTCAGCTTTATCATCCTGCTCCCTGTTCATCAACTTCCACAAGTCAGGAAAAGCCTGACTTTAACTGGACCAAACTTATCTATTTCTACATCTGTATAAGCCATTTCTTGATATAAAACTTTCCCCATATACCACACACACAAGTGTCACTGCGTCTGCTTCTGTAGAGAATGCAACCTCACCTAACACACCTGTAAAACTGATATGGAAGGAGAACTGGTGTGTGAAGTTAGAAAAACTGGAATTACGTCTTCTTTCATCTACCTTCCAATGCTTCTCGAGATATATCTCTTTTCAACCCTACTTTCCTGCTTTCTATTCTCCAGCCATTCTGGCTTTCTGATTGGAGTGCCTTTATATATATTTACCTCCATACATTTCTGACCTTTACAGTTGATAGTCCTTTGGTCTAGGTAGGCCTATTTCTCCTTCCCTTGAAACCTGAATAACTCCCACTCATCAATCTTACCTTTCTACTTCTGGTGTAACACAGCTATCAGAAGTGAATAGATTTAGAGAATAGAGTTTATTGTATCACAGATCTCCAGTCTTAAAGCCCAAATCTATGTCTCAGTTATATGAATTCATTTTTCAGTGGATTTAGGCTTTTCTAAATTCCTTGGCTTGTAAGATGATCGAGCTTCACATGGCATCTATTTTCCTTTGTGATCGAGTATCTCTGTGTCATATCCCTTTTTTTTTTTGAAAAGTTCAGTAGTAATTAGGTTTCGGACCCATGTTATACCCATGTGACTTCATTGACAAAACGAAAGAAACACTATTTCCAAATAGGATTACATTCACAGTTGTGGGGGTTAGGATTCCAAACTATATTTTGAAGGAATACAATTTGATTCTAACATCACTCAAACTCTAGTATATTCCTTGCCCCAGAGTTACCAAGTTTGTGATTTCTTTTATTTTTTTATTAAAAAAAAATTTTTTTCTTTGCTTTTATCAGGGGAGAGTGCGAATACAGTCCCCCACTACCACAAAGTATGCAGTCAAGTTTCCCGCATTTGGGGAAATTGCAGGGGTCAACACACCCGCAGTGCACCGGGTGACCCTTGCCCTGGGAAAACCACCTTCCTGATCATGGTGTCTCCCCTGCCAGGTCAGTATCAAGTTTGTGGTTTCTACAGTATACTTCAGCAGAATCCCAAGTATACCTCTATAATAACACCAACCCCATTGAAATACAATTATCCTTACTAGTTCTATTCTCCAATAGGCCTTGGGCATCATGACAACAGAGAAAATGCTCTGTTTATCTCTCGATAACAAGTGGCTTGCATATTACCAATCACATAAGTGCTCAATAAATGAAACCAAAGATCTCACTACAATCAAGTCAATTTTGACTCAAAGCAACACGATAGGACAGGGTAAAACTGCCCCTGGGGATTTCTGAGACTCCTCCCAGGAGTAGAAACTCTCATCTTTCTTGTTCAGAGCAACTGGTGGTTTCAAACTGCTGACCTTGCAGTTAACAGCCCAACACATGACCATTTCTCTACCAGGACTCCCTCAATAAATGAAGAGGTGAAATAATCATTGGTGATAGATTGTTTCTTTATGGAGGCAATTATTATTAATAATCTTCATTCACCTGATTTTCTAAACAATGCCACTTTGCTTATATATACGCTGTATTTTATCACATATTTTATCATTACGCTGTAGGATAAAGAAAAATCCATACCCTGATAGTAAGGTAGTCAAATATATTCCAATAATAGATAACATACCTTCAGAAACATTAAGCAATGTGAAAGGAGTTGAAATCAGTTGGAAAAAATGCAATCTTCTGATTAAATTGCTTGGAGAAAAACTTTTGATTGCCTCCAAAATAAGGTCATTATCTGGTATGTTGCTGCTGCTGAAAAAGTTAATTATTATTGGGTAAAGGAGATTAATGTGTGATACAATGCCAGGAATGATCATCTTAAATTATTGAGGAAAAATTATCTTTCGGATTTAGTTTTCATTAATCTGAAACTGTTGTTTTAATTCCCTCTTGAGATGGATTGGTAGTGGGGAGGCTTTGTCTCCTTTTCAGGGTGATTTACCTTCCCAAATATATCACTTTTCAGTGGGACAATTTTCGTATTACCTATAGGTAATTTAAAAAGTCAGACTTATCATTTAAAATCCTAAGCAGTTGACTCATCATGTGAAAGCAGTCACATGGCGGACTCTGAACTACAAAGCTCGGCTAGAAAATTGGTGGGAGTTCACCGTTGCCTCCTAATGCGCTTAAAAACCGCCATTCATTCCATCGGTCCTGACTGACAGTGTCATATTACACACGGAACTTATCTCCTTGGAGCTGTCTGATCCCTTGGAGGAAATACAGTACTTAAGGCCAATTATCAGCCTGATGAAAACTGGTTTTAAAATGTTAAAATTACATATGGAGGATTATTTCTAGAGCAGACGTTTTCTATCACATCCTCCCCCTTTTAAAACTAAGGAGCAAATGTTTTGTAAGGAACACGATAGCCAAACAGTTGACTTAAGGTTATCAAAATCATTGCTACACTTAAAAAGAACAAACCTTTTTTTCCCCCCAGTGTGGGATGGGGGCGCTGGAGTCTGTGAGGAGCAAGCTGGCCCCAAACTTCTCCAAATCTACATTTATTTGCCTCCAATTCTTACGTGTCTAAGGACAGGGAACCATAGACATGCCTTTGTAGGAAGACAAGAACAAATCTTTATAAATCATTTAATGATTGAAAAAGGTAGGGTGACGGGATAATTTGGATTCTTAATACCAGAATCGAAACACTAAGTTCTTCACTCCTGAATTGTCTCATGTGTCCCCTCCTATCTCTGAACCACATTTCATGCAGTCGTTGAAATACAGATTTCTGTGGATCCATTGAAGAAGAGCCCTCTTGGTGCTGTGGTTAGGGAGTGGCTGCTCACCGAAACTCACAGTTTGAACTCCCTTACTCAGTGGCTCTATCAGAGAAAGACATGATCATCTACTTTTATCAGACTACAAGCTGGGAACACCTATGGGCCAGTTTGACTCTGTGTCATGGAGTCATTGTGAGTCAAAATTGACTCCAGGCTACCCAACAATAAGAACAATAAAAGATCACGATGGAGTCACAGAGTGGTAGAAACCATGACATCTCCTGAGCACTTGTTAGTAATGCAGAACCCTAAGTAATTCAGATGCATATTAGAATTTGAGATGCCATACTTCACACCATCTTATTTCCCGAGCACATCTCCATTCCATTTTTCTGGCCCTTCAGTTTTTCCATCTGCAAGCCGGACAGGGTGGCATTAGGCTTTAGTACTATACTCTTAACCCTGCAGCTCTGGTGGTGTAATGGATTACAATCTGGGCTGCTAAATGGTAACTGCAAGACCAGCACCATGAGACAAAGAGGAGGCGTTCTACCCCTGTGAAGATTTGTGATCTCAAAACCCCATAAGGGTAGTTCTATTCTGTCCTATGGGGTTACAATGAGCCAGAATCAGTTTGATGGATGGGAGTGTTTTGGTTCTTTTTTCCAGTGTTCTTGACCTTGAAGAGACCCCGAAGTAGAGGTGATCCCTGGGAAGGAGAGGGCTATGTCTGGGCTGTGTGCTGGGCTGAATGCCGACAACTTTGAAAGGGCTCACATGCCAAACTACTATGTCAAAATGCTACGTTAGAAAATATGACTTTTTCATCAAAGTATCATGTTGTGATGGTAGAGGTCATTTGCTGTCAGTCTGGGCATCAGCGAGCTGAGGTCCAGGGAGAACACGTGAGCTGCTTGGGTCAGAGGAGCTGCTGTGCTGGAGGAGGAGCAGGACCTGGTCAAGGAGATGAAGGGTCCAGAGTCCCAGAGCTTGACTAAGCAGTGATTTAATAGGGACAAATCAGGCCTGTCTGACAAATTGAAGATGTGAAAGTTCAAGGGGGGTGGGGGTGGGGGAGAGTATTCAATGTGATCCAAGGGACATTTAAGCATATGATGAAAATGAAATCTCAGTGCTGAAGCTTCCAGAAGTGCTGATGAGAAAGAGGGCTGAGGAATACATTAAATGGTCCATTTTACTTTCTGTGTGTGGGGTTGGTGGGAGTGGATAGAGGAAAGGAAGGCATTTTGATTTACAGCATCTTTTATTCCCTGTCTTTTTGTGGTTTAGTCTCAGAGTGGTACAAATGATTAATGAATGAGGTTTGAGCTCTTGTAAGAAAGGTCTTGCGAGCTGCTTCAGAAAAATTGAAAACGCTATGGAGCACAGTTCTACTCGGCCACACGCAAGGCCACTACGCGTCAGAACTTACTCACAGCAACAGGTTCTTTTTGGATCACCTTTTCTTTCTTTCAGTGTGGGGGAAATGCCACCCCCTCCAACTAATCATGGGTTCAATAAGTTCAATTGGATGGTTATAGGATATCTATAAAGTTTATAGTAAAGTCATAGAGAATGAGAGAGATAGAGGAGAGAGTGAAATAATGGAGTCAGACACATTTCATGGTAGCATGCTCACCTCCTGGATGGCTGTGTTAATCTGGGTACATTAGAGCAATAAATCCACAGACACTCATTTATAAGACAGAGTTTTTTATAAAGGGTAAATGCACATCAAGAAAAGATCCCAACCCAGTGCTGCCCAAGCCCACAAGTCCAACATTAACCCATTAACCCGTATGTCCAACACCAGTCCACAAAGTCCTCCTCCATCTCACAAAACAGAGGCAACAATGCCGACTGCAGGAGGAAAGCCGAGTCAGTGAACGTGTAAGCATCTCAGCGCTGGCAGGGGTCTCCACACGGCTCCTCCAGCACCCAGGGCTGCATCAGGACAGGTCCATGTGGCTTTTTCTTGGGGATGTATTGCAGGAAGTGAGCCTTGCCAGCTGAAGCAGGGAACTGCTAAGGCAGCTGCACCCTGGTCCGACCATCAGAAAGCAAGAGACCCGAGAACTAGAAAAGCGAGGCTCACCACCCATTTATCCCTCTGCCCTTCAATGAACTTCACATGTGTTTATCGGCCAGGTTGGCACAATAAACTAACTAACTCAATGGCCATGATCTCAACAGCCTGGTCCGAGAACAGCACAGGCTGAGAGGGCAGGGGAGAGAGCATGAGAGAGCTGTTTATTGCTAACCAAGGCCTATATCTCTTTAGGGGGTGTGATTACAGGTAACCACACACGTCACGGGATGGGGTTGTACAATAGGCAATATGAGCAATAGCAGGGGGATGTACAATGGGGCATAAGCATAACAGGAAGGGGATGAGCTAGGGGTGTACACATGATAGGAAGGAGAGGGACTAGAGGTATACATGTGACAAGAAGGGTAGACCCTAGACTCAATATGGCAGCCTAATCTCGGTCACCCTTGAGTGGGCTTGAGCTCCCTGGGCTCTCCTTCAGGGAAACAATCTACTACTCTCCTTATCAGAAGGGAGTGGGCCCTACTTAGGGTGGGACAGACTATGCAGTCTGATTGCTCTAGATGGCTGATAACCCTTAGGGAGAATAACCCCTGACCTACTTCTGTTGACCTCCAAGTGTATAGTCATTTGCCACGTGTAGCAAGCAGCCAGGTTTGGCGCATATTTGGGGGAGACAACTTGGGAGAAATCTTTCTGTTTCCCACATTTCAGTCTTTCCTGACCTTCAAACATTTATCCCTTTTAAACAATGCCTGGCTTTGGTGTGCCTAAGTTTTCAATTAATGCCAGCCAGAAAACTTCAGAGTGTTTTCTATTTCACTTTAGTCTCCAACTCTCCCTCTCCAAAATTGTCAAAATACCACTCAACAGTGTCTTTTGTCTTCCACTAAGCTGGTCAGTTAAGCTGTCCTTTGTAGTCATGTCTGCCAACATTTTACAAGCATTACAGAAGTGCAGAGAAAGAAGAAATGAATGAAAAGCAAGCGCTCCAATATGGTGCCCCCCCCAAAAGCAATAAAAAGGCTCTAGATAAGTTAGTAAGTCAGTGATGGAATAATAAGGCTATATGACTTGTCACTCTACCAGAAACCGAGGGACAGTGATGACTGTAAAGTACAGTGTTGACCATTTAGAGTAGACATGCTTCCTAGGTGGAACCATTCTTAATATAAAAAGAATTGACTTTAGGCCCTGTTAGGGGTTGAAT